ATTGCTGTATCTGTAGTATTTCACTTTCCCCCATGGGCTGTTCCTATAGAATGATCTATCCTTCAATAAGATATTTACGCTGTGCTAAAGGAACTAGGCATGAAGGGACTTTGGGTTAGAATTCAATTTTCCTTCTGGCTCTGTCATTTTCTCTGAGAAGTATCCTTACTACTTGAACTCCTGCAGAAGTGGCGAATAAAAAGGCTGGAGGAAGAACATGCAGCCCATACGCCAAGTTCTGTTTTCCGCAAGACCTGTTTTCTTGGGCCTACACAGTTATTTTGTCTTTTAATTTGAATTTCAATGTATTTTAAAAGGGCACAAACTCTTCAGGTTTCTGCTAATCCTTAAATACACCCTTAACATGCAGTTTACTTGGCTCATTCTGTGTTACTAACACCCCTGTGCGCTTTTGACCTTTCCACTTTCTTTCAGTGAGCGGAAAATTTTCCTCAGTTAACAGAGGAGTCAGCTTTAGAAGCTGCAGTCTTTTGGAGAATGAAAGAAGATGAATCAAAGAGTAAACCAATAGTTTAGTCTCTGAGATATTTTAAAAATCTGAGTAAGCCACGCCCAGCCTCTTGGTCCTGCATTTTTTGTTGCATGCCTGCACTTGGTGAGCCCTCTGCAGACGTCTTACAGGGTGGCAAATTGCTGGATCATAAATCCTGTGAGGCTCTGCTTTGAGTTTGTATTAACATAGATTGTGTCTTTTCTCAGCTTGTTTTCATCAAAGCAATGCTGAAATTGGGCTAATTTGGGCTCTGGAAAGAGCAGGCAATCCTTCTCTTGTGGGATGCATTTCTTTTCACTCCATGTCTCAAATTCAAAATGCTGTGGAGATCTAGTCTTCCTTTCTCTACTCTTCACAGGTCCTTCCTCCAAGGAACTTGATTGGTTGGGGAGGAGAACATCGTTGATCTTCATTGTTTTCACCTCAAGCTCCACAAGGTTCTGTTAGCCCCTGGTCATGTGCTCAGGGTCCACTTAAAGTCACAACATAAGCGCCCAGTGCATTTTGGGGGAGGGAATCAAATTTGCTTGATGGTTATTCATTCAAAACCATAATAAAACCAGCAAATGTGCTACGGAGCAGAACAATTCACCTTTTAAAAGATAAAACATAGGATTGTAAAGACATTTCATGCTGTTAGAGGCTTTTTCCAAATGTTTCTCTGAGTCCCATAGGAGAGCTTTAGATCTCCCTTCATATTAGCAGTATTTGGGTGAAAGTTTGGGAAGCAGGGTGAAATTCTGGTAAATTCTTTTCTAAAACACAGTCTGCTTTTATATCTGAGAGGAGTATTTCTTTATTTCTGGAGTTCGTGGAATGAGAAATTATGTAGCCCTTGGCTGGACACTTAAGTCTGTTCCTGGGCTTGCCAAAAAGTCCTGGGCTGAGTCACTGTACTGAACTTCATAATCTCATTCAAAGACCACCGGGACTGTAAAACTGTTGCTGCTCAGTCCATTTATTGTAAATGGCTGCACATATTCAAGAATAAATAGTTTAGTTCTGTTATTGTTGGTTTGGGGGTCACCCCTCCACCAGCCTGGCACGGTTGTCCTGCTTAGTAGAAGTGTCAAACATTTGTATTTTCTCTGCTCTGTGTGTTGGAAAATAAATAGGTAGCAATAAAGAAACTTTATTATGCATGTTTTCTGCCTTGGGTGGTACCTGGAATTTGCTGAATTTGCTGAGTGCAACTTAAATTTTAAAAGGCTCCTGGGACTCACCTTTTTCATGCCATGCAAGTCAAATGGAAAACCAAATAATTAGAATAAGCAAGCTGCATGGGTCCTTTCTCCTGGTCTCAGCTGACCCCAGACCCTGTTGTGAAATTCCAGCACCTCTTTTTACCCCTTCCAGCTGTTAAGCTTCCATGACCAGATTTAAACAACCATCTCTTTCCCCCCTCTCAGATAATTAACTACTGATTTAGTATATCACCTAGGACATTCTTGTACAAAGAATTTTAAGTTAAAAAACAAAACAAAACAAAAAATATTGTTCCTATCCATCAATTTTCCAAGATATCTTATTTACTTCATATCAGTCTTATTAGAACTTGAAAAGTGACTTTAAAGCAATGAAACTGATTTTCATAGTGCTATATAGACTCTCACTAATGCCAGTTAAAAGCACTGTGCCCAGACTGCTTCTCACTAAACTCATACCTGGAGCTGAAAGCAGGAAATGAAATGAAGCAGATTTAAAGAAGAACAAATGTAAATACCAAGCATATTGCTCTTTCTCTTGGTGAATTGCCCCAGAATGGGACCCTGTCTGAGATCCTACAAAATCTTGTTAAATGTTTCAAGGCAAGATATTTAATTATTGTTAGGTTTAGGAAAGCAAATCAGTATCATATCTTCCCAGTGATACTACATTTTGGTAATAGTATCATCTTTTTGAGAAGGCAGCATGGTATAAACAAAGCCTCAGCATTAGACTCAGATAGGCCAAGGTTTAAATCCCAGAGCCACCGTTTATTGGCTGTGTACCTTTAGATATGTTACAAACCTCTCCTGGGTCTCATTTTTTTTTTTTTTCATTTACAAAATGGGAAATGATGGCAAGGTGTGAAAAGGACAGCAAATGTGAGGAGCAAGTTCAATCCTAGGCATACATACAATCAATATAAATTTTCCTTCTTTTAAAAATCAGATTATGAACATAAAATAACTCCCTACCAAAAGCTGACTCTGATCGGAGGCCTTGTTTACTATGAAGGGAGCTCTTGGTGGCCCTTAATTGTGACTGTTGATTGCACACATCTGGAAACTATGACAACCATTGTGCTTTGAGCTCAGCTTGGCCCAAATGTAGCTCTGTATAAGGCAGCCTCTATCCTTCAGTTTTTTCCAACACAGCATAGCTTGGCTTGAATTTGGGCAGAAGAGTGGTGTCAAAAGAAATGAACAATGTCTGGGAAGAATTCAGCTTTAGCTAACAATTTCCTAGCCCTTTATGACCCCACTAGAAAACTGTCCCTAGAGTAGCTCCCTGAACATGTACAGGAGCTGTATTAGGAAGCTGTATTATTATGCTTACTTTGCAGATGCTTCAACTGAGTCTGACTTTCTCAAGGGCACAGCGATAATAAGGCATGGGTTTGGGATAAGATCCCAGGTTTTTTGACCTGGTGAAAAAGCAGCAGGATTTGCAATGTTAGAAGATTGGCAGCTGGAGTGTCTACATGCCCAAGTCCACTTTGCATTAACACTCTCTGTGACGTGCTTGGGGTGGGGTGGGGCGGGGGGTTCCCAAGTAAGCTTTCTTGACCTTTATTTATTTTTTATCTTTTTTTATCCTCACCCGAGGACATTTTTCCATTTTTTGTTCAAGTAGAGTGGGAGGGAGAGAGAGGAAGAGAGAGAGAGAGAAACGTTGATGTGAAAGGGATATGTCGAGTGGCTGCCACCCGCACGACCAACCAGGGCCAGGGACAAACTGCAACCGAGGTACGCGCCCTTAGTGGGAACAGAACCCGGTTCTCTCTGGACCGCAGGCCAACGCTCTAACTGCTGAGCCAAACTGGCCAGGGCAGCTCCCTTGACTTTTAAACACCCTGTGCCCAGGCCATATGGACAAGGGCAGGTAGTGAAATCTGCTAATTAAACATGCCATGTAAACAAAATATGATCACTAATTTTTTAAAAAGACACAAAATTTGCAAAATATTCCTAGCATAAGTAAATTTTTTGTTTCTTTTATCTTGACAATTCAGAAGTATTTTAAGACCAACATTAATTGCCATTCATTTATTCAAAAAATATTTATTAATTTGCCTATTATATGTGAAGCACTGTTCTAAATGCTGGGATACAAAAACTATTTTTTAAAAACATCTTTTGAAAATGCCCTCTCGTAACAGATTGAGTAGTGAGAGGTTGAGATTTTTTTTAATAATGCTAAAAATGTCAGCTTGCTTTTTTTTACTGTTAAAAAAAAGTTAAAGAAATATAGAGCAATTCTAAAGGCAATTCCTTTATGGGTTTACCTTTTTCTTACTTTTCACCTGGAAAAGCTTCCAAGTTCCTCTTGCCTCTCCATTCTTAGGAGGCAATTTTGAGTTCCAACATGTTCTGCATCATCTGCCCGTGTCTACTGCCAAAGCAGGGCAACCGGAGTGTGGATTTCAACAGTCTCATTGGATGATAAACAGTGAGAGTAATATGCTGCTAGAACTTTTTATTTTTAAATGTCAGAATATCAGAATGCACTATTCCAACCCCCCCCCTCCAAATCAAAAGCCTAGTGAATGAAATTATGACCGTTATTCGAGTGCAATTATACTGAATATATAAAATTGAAATACTGAAAGCAAATCATACATTTGGATATTACATTTCATATTCCAGTGTATGCCAAATAAGCTAGTGAGGTTTTATTATTGTTGAGTGTAATGTCAGGAGACAAACTTCTACAAATTTTATACATAACTTTTTCCATTTTATCTGTTTTCCATTTATGTCAATTTGAACACATTGTGTGACTTTTAATATTCTTCCTCCTTCTTCCCCACATTCAATGCCAGGGGATGAAACCCAATCTTGATTATCCTAAATTTACCCTCAAGTAATCTCAGACCAATAGGGTTTTTTTGTGTTTTTTTTTGTTTTGTTTTTTAAGTAGTATGGAAAAGGAGAGAGGAAGAACCTCTAAATAACCCTATAAACCTGGTTCTAAGGATTCTGACAAATGGCCTGGAAAGACTATCAAGTGCCAGTGCATTGTGAAAGACAACTGTGGCTACGGGCAGTTCTTGCCAGAGCAGGTCTCAGCTCATGGAAACCGGGTAATCACTTAGGGAGCTGTGGATTATAACGAAATAAGATCTCGCAGCCATGGAAGGCTTAGTGAGCTGGGCCTCACTGGGAGGATGCAAGGAAAGGAATGAATGAGGCGAGATCCCACACCCGTGCTCCAGGTGGGGGCGCCCTGGCGCGAGCGCAGGGACCACCGGGGCACCGTTAGAAAGATAACTGCTGCAGAAGGATGGCTTCCAGCTTGAAGAAGCCAAGTGCGGCCTCTACCAGCCAGAAAAAAAAGGTGGGTCCTAAGCCTGAACTCACTGAAGATCAGAAGCAAGAAGTTCGTGAAGCATTTGACCTCTTCGATGCAGATGGAAGTGGGACCATCGATGTGAAGGAGCTGAAGGTGGCCATGAGAGCGCTGGGCTTTGAACCCAGGAAGGAAGAGATGAAGAAGATGATCTCCGAGGTGGACAAGGAAGGCACGGGGAGAATCAGCTTCAATGACTTCTTGGCCGTGATGACTCAAAAGATGGCCGAGAAAGACACCAAAGAAGAAATTCTGAAGGCTTTCAGGCTCTTCGATGACGATGAGACTGGGAAGATCTCTTTCAAAAACCTAAAGCGTGTGGCCAACGAGTTGGGGGAAAACCTCACTGATGAGGAGCTGCAGGAAATGATCGATGAAGCGGACCGGGATGGAGATGGCGAAGTGAATGAGGAAGAGTTTCTTCGCATCATGAAAAAGACCAACCTCTATTAAAGTCAACGGTTTCTCCTCAAGCATGTGTGGAGAACTTGAGTGACTTGTTGGGTTCCCTGCTTCTGCTTTGTAAAACCTTGAGTTAGGGGACTGCTCTATCCCTCCTCTTACCCCCCCCCCCCCCCCCCGCCCCTAGTTTGTCTAGATGCTTCTATCTTTGGCCCAAGTATAGAATTTTAAAGATGCTTTTAACATGAGTTTTGTTTTTTAATTCTCAAGAGCAGACCCGAGGTACTTTAGGTTGACTTTTTAAAAAAAGGGGGCCCAGAAGCTTCAGTCTTCCCACCATTTGCTTTGTTTTGGTGGATATCCCATTAAACTGTACCCAGGATGGCTTCTTGGGACAAACAGCCATGTGATTCCCTTGTCACTTCTTTGGCGGTCTTAAATTTCTTACTTAATATATTATTACTTAAATTCAAGTCATTGTTCTGGATGAGGTGAAATCTGCCAGCAGGTATCCCAGGTATTGCTTCTCACTTACCTGAATACTGATCTGAAGGAAAGCAGTGCAGCCACTTATTAAGCTCAGGAAAGATACTCGATAGGCTTGCCTTTGGGTGGTGCAAACTTGTGCAATTTAGACTATTCCCTGACTTAATCACATGCAAATGATTCTTCATTTGTGTGCAAATCATCTACTATGGATTATCCAGGGCCAGAATGTATAGGTGAGCTACAGAATAAAAGTAAAATTTAATATTGGCCCAAGTGAAGTATAATTTGCTTAAGAGATTAAGGTAACGATTTTGAGTATATATTTACAAATGTAAGATCTTAGTTTAGAAAATTCTAAAAAATATAATACATTTTACGATGTTTATCTGTCCTTTGAAAGATCAACAACTGTTTTAGTTATTGGACTACTATAACATAACTATAGTCATTTAATTACTGCTTTATTACAAGCCATTATCTACTTGCTAATTCTTAGAACACCTTGGTTCTTGATACTTTATATACCCCTCTCCCCCTTAGTTGATATCAAAATGTCTGGCATATAAGCAGTTCTCTGTTTTATAATCCCAGGAAATTATTTCACTGTGGCTTGTGTATGTATTAATGATATTTGTTTTCTGTTGATTATTAAGCCGTTCATGCTTTGAAAAAAAGATGCCTATACTTTGGATATCTAGAAATCTGAAGTTAAGAAAAATTTAAATAATATAATTATGGGAAGATTATATACATATAATAGAGAGAGTGAAAGAGATGGCAGGGGGGAGCTTAGACTAATTTTTTGTTGTTAATTCTCACCTGAAGATATTTTTTCCACTGAACTTTTTGGAGTGGAAGGGCAGAAGGGGGAGGTGGGGAGAAAGTGAGAGAGAAACATCGATGTGAGAGAGAAAGATCCCTCCTGCATATACCCAGACCAGTCCCAGGAATCAAATCTGTGACCCAGGTACATGCCCTTGACTGAGAATTGAACCCATGACCCTTCAGTGCATGGGCTAACTTTCTAACCACCCAGCCACACCGGCCAGGGCTAGACTAATTTTTGATAATGCACAATAAAACTTAAATAGGAAAGATATTTTGATTACAACTAAACCTCAATTAAATCTTCAAAATCCCATTGAAATAAATGCTGAAAATTTGTCACTTGCTTTGCCAGCAATTTTACCCTCCAGAGGGTGGTGAATCTAATCAGGACACTGCTACTCTGGACTTAATTCTCATTAACAGGGACTAATTTGTCAAAGCAAGAGGACTAGCTGAAGTGATGGGTATGTGGGCATTCACTGTGAGAAAGGATTTTGCTGAGGTGGCTGGTACCAGTCAGGGAATTCATCCAGGCTGCAAATACTAACAGTTCACATTCAGGGTCTTAGAGTGAACTCAGGTGCAGGTGTAGTAAATTCAGGAGCAACTTCGGCCTGCATCAGTGTGAAGGGCCCCATCTGAGAGCAAGAGGAGTGTGGCATTCTGGAAAACAGAAAGTTTCTGGCATCCTGTTGACCAGTTTGGACCCAAAAATCTACTGATGGATCAAGGTAGAAATACCACAAACAAAGTTGGCAGAAACTAGGAGAAAGGGTCATGACGAGCCTCAGCCAACTGAGCTGGACTGGGCTGGCACCTGGCCCATCAAAGGATAGAAGTGAAAATCAGGAAGCTGGGCTGAAGCCCTGTAGTCAGGCTGCTCAAACGCCATGGGGGAGGTCAACCATGGAGGCTGCAGCCCAGTACAAAAAAGTTCCCCTGAGGGTGCAACCCATCTCACTCAAGGGAAGGGGGCCCTAGAACACTTCTGAATCCCACTCACAGCTAAGAAAGAAACCCTCAGTGCACTATTAGTCTTGGTTCTCAGTTGGCTTATGCTCTGGGGGGAGGAAAGTAAAGGGGGTGAAGGGAAACGACTAGAGCAGGCCTAGACCTTTGAATTTTAAGAGAAGTTAAATAAGTATGGCTGAGTCAGACATGTATTCTAGTCTTTACAAAAGTAGAACACAAAAAATTCAGAAAGAATTTATAGACACATTTTTGCAGATGAGGAAACACAGCTATAAAGTTTGGGAAGAACTAAAGTAATTTTCACTGGTTATTACAAATGGTCCCAAAAAAGAAACAGGAAACAGCAAACAGCCCTGGCCGATTTGGCTCAGCAGTTACAGTGTCGGCCCCTGGACCAGAGAGTCCCGGGTTCATTCCTGCTAAAGGCATGTACCTCGGTTGCAGTTTGTCCCCGGACCCCGTTGGGGTTGTGTGGGTGGCAACCACTCAATATCTCTCTCTCACATCGATGTTTCTCTCTCTTTCTCCCTCTCTTCCTCCCGCTCTATCTGAAGAAAAATAAAAAATAAAAATCCTAAAATTAAAAAGAAGCAGGAAACATACCAAAGAAACTCATGCCCCTGTGTAGGGACCTCATTGATAAGCCCTTGATTTCTAATGATAAATGGGATAGATGAGAAGCAGAGCACAGGGCCAAGGATGAAAATATGACAGCATCAAAATTGTATTAATATCAAGAAAGCAAATGCCCTAAGTGAGCAAAAGACCGTAAAGGGAATTTTACTCTTGAAGGCACGTTAGTTATGGTTATGAAGTGACAGGAAGGGGTAGGCCTAACTCTTTAGATTATTACAGGTTGATTTCCATGGGAAGCAGACTCTGAGTCTGAGGTTGGTGTGTGGGAAGTATGTTCTCCAGAACAAATGGGTGGAGGAGGAAAGAAAGTGGAACTACATGAACAATGGACATGGACAACAAAGCTGGGGACAGGGCGGGGAGGGGGGAATCAGTGGGGGGAAAAGGAGAAACATCTGTAACAAAAATAAATTAATAAAATAAATAAATAAATAAAAAGAAATTCGGACTGGACAGAGGGAGAAGTTGTGCTGTGATGCAATCACAACAAAGGTTTCAGCCAATCCTACAGGGAGCTCTGGTGTGAGGATGACCCTGCAGAGATGTCTGTCCTAAATTGGGACAAGGGAGTTGCACCTCTCAAACTGTTCTTTGACAACACTCACTGGAAATAAGCTGCCTCAAGAAAGGGGGTGTGACCTTGATCAAGCTGGCTCTCCTCAGCCAAGGGTAGTCACTGGAAGGGAGAACTCAGTAGCAAACTGTTAGATGTCAACACTTCTATCGCCTGCAGGGATGAGGGCTTTAGTTGTTTAGTGCAGGGCCAAAGGGGAGATCTGGGTAGTGCCCCACAGCTTCCACTATAATCCACCCCTTTCATCACTTAGATCTTTGTATAAATACTGAGAGAAGTTAATTCAGGATTCTTTTTTTCATCCTCACCCAAGGACATTTTTCTTTTGTACAGATAGAGTGGGAGGAAGAGATAGAGAGAGAGAGAAACATCGACGTGAAAGGGACACATCGAGTGGCTGCCACCGCAAACCAACCAGGGCTGGGGACAAACTGCAACCGAAGTACGTGCCCTTAGCGGGAACCGAACCCGGGTCTCTCTCGAGTGCAGGCCGACGCTCTAACAGCTGAGCCAAACCGGCCAGGGCTAATTCAGGATTCTAATGGACCTCTATTGCTGAAAGAAATTTTATAAAGGAAGATTACAGGGACAAACTATAGCCCTTGCCACAGCAGCTGATCTCAAGGCCACAAATAGTACTTAACGTCTCCCTCTAGCAACCAGCCTAGAATCCCCTCACCCTCAGCACGTCTGCTGATGTAGGTGAATTACCTGGCAGGATGATCCAGGTCCTCTCATCTCTGAGATGTCTGAGCCTTTGCCCTCAAAATTGAGTGAAGGAGCACCAACAGATACTCAAGTGTGTTACCTGGTGCCAAATATAGTCTTTTCATAGAATTCCTGTAACTCTACCTCTTCCTGATGACCAGGATTAGTTACTCATGGATGGTGATTTCTTTCCTTGACTGTTGTTTTCTCCACATGAGGAACCCACTGTGATTGTCACACATATTTTGAAATTTAATGGTTCTCTTGCAGTGCCCACTGGTGGGAGTATTCCTCCTCTGGGAGCCAAGATCTTTAAATGCACATAGTTCAAAGTTGTGGGGATGAGAAGCATGAATTAAATAGCAGATTACTGAGGATTAAAGTAAGAACTACTTCCACCCTTGATTTGCTAAACTCATGTGTTTTGCCTAAGAGATACCACATTTTATAAGGGTCATGGATTTAAATTACATGCTGCATCCTGAAGGGTGGCACCACATTCTCATTGGTTGTTATGTCCAAGCTGGCCCCTCAGAGGCTCCTTCAACAGGCTTTTCCATTGCTTCATCATGTTGAAAACTTCTGCATGTTATAGGACTAGTAGATTTTATAAACACATGCCCACTATTGTACCTCCTTTCCTGTAAAGTGGGTCCTTTGGTCCAATATTATGTGGGACCCTATGCCAGTAGAATGAATATGCAGATATGGTGCTAGCTGGAGCTCTGCAAGCAGGAAAAGTAAACCCATGACCAAAATATGTGTCAGGTCCAATCAAGATGAGTCACTTGTCTTTCTAAAATAGAAGGGATCCAATTGGACTACTTACACCAAGAGGCCTGTT